TCAAAAAAAAAAAAAAAAAAAAGTAATGGATGATTAGTTTCCACTTTTGTAAATCAGGAGTAATAACAGTGCCTATTCCATAGGGTGGCCGGGAGGTCTAAATGAGATAATACACATGAGGTTGATACGAGGCAGCTGTTATTATTGTTCTCGTTATTTGTACTAATCCCATTATCTTCATCTGGATACGTCTTCTCTCTCAACCCAGGAATGTAGCTGATGCCAGGCTGTCTTTGTATAGATCCTCAAAATTATGGTTGCCCTACCTGGAAGCTTTCAACAGATTTCACAGATCCAACACTGCTCAAACATGGCTATGCTCTGTGAAGGGCTGCTCAAAATATTGCTTTCCTTTCCCCCTACATCTCAAATAAGAAGGTCCACACAGTAACACGTGGTTTCAGGGAGCAACAAAGCACATTTTCTGGAAGGCTTTTAAAGTAGCTCTCTTTTCCTGAGCCCATGACTTCAAGGCTACAGTAAGCTATGATCATGCCCCTGCACTCCAGCCTTGGCAATAGAGTGAGACCCTGTCTCTAAAAATAAAATAAAATAAAATAAAAAAGTAAATAAAAATAAAGTGTCTCTCCCTCAAAAAGCACCTGAGAAGTAATTCCTTATGCATTGAGACTCCCTGAGAAGGAAATGTCTGAAAACAGAGAGGAGAGGTCAATCCAAGATGAAATACAGATCTTCCCAACCTAGATCTTCTGGGATAACCTGGATTGAAATTATTCTATTTCAAGAGGTAGCATGGGATGGGGGGTTAACAGCTGAGACTGGGTTCAAAAACTGGCTCGTGACTCACTACTTGTGTGATAGCAAAACTGCTCTGAGCCTGCTTCCCATTTTGTAAGATGGGAATCTGTTTTTTTTTTTTTTTGAGACGGAGTCTTGCTCTGTCACTCTGGCTGGAGTGCAGTGGCACAATCTTGGCTTACTGCAACCTCTGCCTCCCAGGTTCAAGCAATTCTTCCGTCTCAGCCTCAGTCTCATGAGTAGCTGAGACTACAGGCATGTGCCACTGTGCCAGCTAACTTTTGTATTTTTAGCAGAAACGGGGTTTCACCATGTTGGCCAGGCTGGTCTCGAATTCCTTACCTCAACTGATCTGCCCACCCAGCCTCCCAAAGTGCTAGGATTACAGGCATGAGCCACCACACCTAGCTAATATAAGACAGGAATCTAATGGTACCTACCTCATAAAGATATTGTGAGGGGTAAATGTGATATCATACACTAAATACTTATCACAGTGCCAGAGACACAGCAAAGCTCTCAAAAATGTTAACTGCTCCAGAAATATATTGGATTTTTTTAGATCACATATCCCAGTTTGTAAATCCACATGTCCCACAGTTTGCAAAAATTGTCATTGGAGGAGATCATTCCTAGAAGGGCAGAAATTCTCATTTGAGGGAGATACATTGTAGAGTTGTTGGTTTCTACTGGCTCTCTGAGCCTGTGGTTGAAACTCCTTGTTTAAACTGCCTGTGGTGGGAGGGTGGAAAGCCTGGAGCTCCCCTTTCCTGCCTGGAGCTCACCTTTCCTATTTGCTAGGCTTGTGGATGTCATAACCTGGCCTCTCTACTTGTTTAGAAGGAGGCTACAATCAACTCAACAGAGAAGCGGTCTCTTGTCCTCATCCAGGCCTGCACATGGTGGCAGACCAGCTCCAAGGCTGGGGCCCTGGGAACATAGGAAGGGAACACTTAGAGCACTCCCCCTCCCCGCTTCCTCCCCCTAGGCATGACAGGAAGTGGTGCTTCGAGCTGGGAGAGATCCCTGGAGGCATTTACAACCTTGCAGCTTATTTCACGTGCTAATCAGGTGTCATCTCCTGATACCCTTCTCTGTACCTGATTTGCCCTATACCCAGACAGAGGGAGGGTCCTCTCCCCCAAAAAGGCGCTACCTGGAGCCAGGAGCTTCCCAGGTCCAGAAAACCACCGGTGATAAATTACGCAGCTGCACCTCTGTGTCACTGCCTCTCAGCCAGATGGGAGGTTTGCTCCCAGTCTTTTGTTTCCGGCTCTGCTTGCAGCTCTGATCCTCACTCTGCACAGAGGTGAGGGGGAGCTCCCATAGGCCAAGTCAGGGCTTGCAGCAAGTCCCAGCCAGGCTTCCCCCCACTTGGGTCCCAGGCAGCGCCCCTCCCCTCCTCATTCGAACCTGAGTGATAGGGGAGTCCCATTCCGCATGGGGAAACGAGGTGTCAGGGAGAGCTAACAGTCATTCCGCTCATCTGAGAGCAAGGATGGGAATGCCTGTGAGCAGTGAAAGAATGAAGTCGGTCTGCTTGGATGGGCAGAAGAGGCGCCCAAGGGCATCTAGGATGTTTGTGTCTTGCTAAATCAAAAACGCACAACAGAAAATGGAGTCAAGCAACCGCCAGAAAGCTAGAGAACTGGCTCTTTTAACGGCTGCTCTTGGTTACCGTCAACTTTCCGAGACTCCCAAAAACATCACATCGCTGGCACCAACTTAAAAAGAAGAAACGAAAGAGACAACAAGGGTCAAACTTTGAGGTGGAGGAGCTGGGGGTTGGGGGCCATTCGGGGCTGGAGACCCGCATCAATTAGGCCTGCACACTGACAGGCTTCCTGATTGAAGATGGTCACTGGGAAGGGTCCACAAACAGCTCAGCTCCCAGATTGGGGCAATGACTACGTTATGAGCTCTGGAGCCGGACTCCTTTCTCAGGCCAATGGGAGGGAGGGCTTGGAATTCTAAAGTGTTCCAGCTACAAGAGTCCCCGGCCAGGCCCTCTCACCCTATGTCACAGGAATCTTAGGGTGAGAGGTTGCTAGGCTGCATCCCTGACCACGTAAGAAGGGCAGCTCTTGGCCAGGCGCCGTGGCTCATGCCTGTAATCCTAACACTTTGGGAGGTTGACACAGGCGGATCATGAGATCAGGAGTTGGGAGACCAGCCTGACCAACATGGTGAAACCCTGTCTCTACTAAAAACACAAAAATTAGCCAGGGGTGGTGGTGGTGGTGGCACATGCCTGTAATCCCAGCTACGCAGGAGGCTGAGGCAGGAGAATCGCTTGAACCCAGGAGGTGCAGATTGCAGTGAGCCCAGATTGTGCCACTGCACTCCAGCCTCGGCAACAGAGCAAGACTCCGTCTCTAGGAAAAAAAAAAAAAAAAAGCCGGGCGTGGTGGCTCAAGCCTGTAATCCCAGCACTTTGGGAGGCCGAGGCGGGTGGATCACGAGGTCAAGAGATCGAGACCATCCTGGTCAACATGGTGAAACCCCGTCTCTACTAAAAATACAAAAAATCAGCTGGGCATGGTGGTACATGCCTGTAATCCCAGCTACTCAGGAGGCTGAGGCAGGAGAATTGCCTGAACCCGGGAGGCGGAGGTTGCGGTGAGCCGAGATCGTGCCATTGCACTCCAGCCTGGGTAACAAGAGTGAAACTCCGTCTCAAAAAAAGGAAAAAAGGGAAGCTCTCAGAGGAAAAGCTCCATTTCCCCAGACCTTTCTCAAGAGAACAAAGCAAAGTGAGTTCTCCTAGACTGATGTTACAGCTTAGGAGACCTCTTTTCTAGGAGCGGGCACAGGACAGAACTATGCTTCAACTCCATCACCTTTTCAAGGGGAGAAAGAAGAGCAGATCTTTAAAAGAGACAAAAGATCAGCTGAAAAGAATGAAGGACCAGGTCTCAATTTTAGCATGGAACACAGTAGCACAATTATTTACCTGGCTCCCCTATTCTAAAGGCAAGAATCATCTCTGATCCACTTATACAACTTTGCTTACGGCTAACGTGTATCCAGCTCTATAGTAACACAGTAGTTGCCAAGCTCCGTGCTGTATAGTTTGAACATTTACCTCATGTAACTTTTATGATATTCCTATGTGATAATTTATTACTACTTCCCTCCCCCTACCCTACCTATCTTTTCAGGTAACAACCGTGAAGTTCAGGGAGATTTTGCAAAGGGTCACCAAGAATTGCCAGAGCCAAGATTCAAACCCAGGTCTGGCCGGGCACGGTGGCTCAAGCCTGTAATCCCAGCACTTTGGGAGGCCGAGGTGGGTGGATCACAAGGTCGAGAGATCGAAACCATCCTGGTCAACATGGTGAAACCCCATCTCTACTAAAAATACAAGACATTAGCTGGACATGGTGGCGCGTGCCTGTAATCCCAGCTACTCAGGAGGTTGAGGCAGGAGAATTGCCTGAACCCAGGAGGCAGAGGTTGCGGTGAGCCGAGATCGCGCCATTGCACTCCAGCCTGGGTAACAAGAGTGAAACTCCGTCTCAAAAACAAAAAAAAACAACCCAGGTCTGTGAGTGCTTCTCATCCACCGAGCTATGTATACAGTGATGATGTTAGTGCTTGTGTTCGCTGAATGAATGAACAAATGAATGAGTGCGGAGCCTAGTTTGAGGAATGCTCCTGATTGCACGAGGAAGAAATCATCTCTGCTAGCTGTAAGCTGGAGTGAGTGTGGCAAGCCCATGCAGTCATCAGAACTATTTATAAGGCCACAGTCAGGCTCTGCCAGCTAACCAGTCAGCACTGAGTCTTCCCTGGGACACTGAATCCTCACAGGCTGAGGAGGGGAGGAGGG